TTTTGTTCTCCAGATGCCACTATCCAATTTGTATGTAGAATCGCTCGCTGATTCCAAACATCAAGTTATTTTTTTTTGTTTACTGGGTTACTGAGCTACCTCTGCCGATGAAGAATAAAAATGAAAGTAAGTTTTCGTTCTTCCCTCCTACGCGTTTGGACGCTTTTGCGTCTTCCTCAGGGAGCCTGTGTTTTATTGAACAATAAATAAAAACAATAAACTGAATTATAATCACAACTGACAAACATATGTAAACTAAAAATCGTATGCATTTTTTTTTTTACTTACATTTTAAATTACAAATTCAATAATAATTAGCACAACACATCACAATTTTATAACTATTTAATCATGTTGCCTAACACGAACAAAAAATACGTTGGACTTACTTATATCCCGGGGCTAACAAATAATCAAGTACTAAGACGAATAATGAAAAATGAAAAGATAATATATGCGCACAGGACAACACACTAAGCAAAATATTTACAAGGACGAAAGACAAAATAGAAAGTAATGTCGTTTATGAAATAAAATGCATCCTCTCGGAAATGGTTCAAAAGTCATCAAATAAAAGCTGTGGAGTCAACAGCTGTGGAGTTTATGGTGGTTGGCTACCGTCCACAAATATATATAAATATGCACTCGGCATGGCTTTTTACAATGGCTAGTCTAAAAGTTCACTTTGCTGCACACCTTCCTTTTGGTCTACATGAAATTGCAAACACTGTTAATACATCCATTTTCTCATGTGCTTAAAATCGCACTTACCTAAAGGGCTACATGTCCAAAATTATTGCTACGTGTTCATAATTAATCAGTCTTTGTTTATTTATTGATTCCTGCAAAATTGGGCCACGTAATATTGAAATTAACACATTTTTCTGCATTGTTTACATATTTTTATATGTGTTTTGGCATTTCTCTCTCGCAATTGCACCAAGATGACGTCACGCAAAAATTACGCTCAAAAATCCTCTCTCATTGGCGCAATCTTGTATTCTATCATTCTTGTACATTCATAGTATATGTTTATCCGTACAAATCGCGTGCTGTGGTGTTGCTGTGTATTCAACATTTGAAAGCAGAGAGTGTCGGGATTCGAATTCCACTGCAGGCAACATACAAATTAAATCTTTTTTTGGTTTTTATCTTGATAATTCACTTCACGGATGCTTTTTCAGAACGAACGCGGTCATTTTAATAGGCGCGTAATTGAATTGAATATTTACCAACATACAGTACTTTCGTTGACGTTTATAGTAAGATCAATGACGTTACTGATTGATTTTAATATTTTTCCCCTCAGTGTAGGTTAACAGCTGAAGGTGCGAAGTTGAAAAGGTTTCTTAGTTTCAAGCACATTAATTCGTGGTCAACGGTGTCGAAAGCTTTTGAATAAATAGTCTAGGAGCATTAACAAAGTTTCATAATTTCTGTCAATGTTTTGCCTAATGTCCTCCGTAACTTTTAAGAGTGCTGTGGTACAACTCCTGTTAGTTCTAAAGCCAGATTGGTATGGGCTCAAGAAGGCATTTTTAGTTAGGAAGGGCTTAATTTGTTTGTTCATAATCCGCGCAAGAATCTTGGACAGAAAATGTAATATCGCAATTGGCCTACAATCGCCATTGGGCTTTTGGAAAGGGATGCTTTTAGCTACCTTCCAGCAGCTGGGAAAGGTGCTCGTAGTGAGAATTGTATTAAAGGCGTAAGTGATATAATTAAGAATTTTTGGTAGTAAGCACTTCAGAAATTTAGGATGGACGCCATCGTGGCCTACGGCGTTAGATTTTATTCTGAGAGTAGACATCACAAGCATCAACACATTTAAAACAGAAACCAGGCACGGAGTCACTCATACTAGCACTATAACGATCATAACAAATATTACTATTACTACAAGCTGACAATTGAATAAATTTCTCATTTAGTGCATTCACATATATAGATTCAGTAACCAATTTGTTTTTCTTGCCAATATCGATTTCGCGTATGCGCTTCCAAGTTTGTTTAGAGCCAACCGCAGTGCTAAATTGGTATGCATAGTACTTAGATTTTTGTAACTTGATGGCTCTGGTCACTTCTCTTTTAAGGAACTTATAGTCGTTATAGGTGATATCGGACCTGGATCGTTTCAATTTTTGAAATGCGCTATTGCGTCTCTCAATCAGCCATTTTATATCGATATTAAATCTAGCCCCATGCAGCTTAGTTACAAGTGGCACAAACTGATCAAAGAGAGCGCCAATGCGAGATTGAAGAAATGTGATCTGTTCCTCTGATGACGTCATGGCTTGAATAGCAATTGATTGCATACACAGCTAACTCGAGATAGTCATTATTAATGTGCATGAAGTCGCGATGAGGGTGTGTCATATGCGAATTTAATGTCGTAGGTAAGGTAAATCAGACCATGTTTAGAGAAATTGGACACAGACAGTTGATCATATAGAAGTATTTTGGACTTATCATTTACAAAGAAGACATGTGCTGCTGGTTCGTGTTATGTGCGTAGGTGTTGTAGAGTTAACAGGAAAAAGACCGAGGTTCTCCATTGAAGGTGAGAATTTAGTTTCAATAAGCAAATCATTATTAATGTCACCGGTTATGACAATATCGCTGTAGGCAAGGCTTAGGTTTTCAATAAAATCGACAAATTGTGAATATGGGATGCTACGATTTGGTCTATATACCAGCCAATAAGTATTTCGCCTGCTTTGGTCAATAATTCAATAAATAAATATTCAATAGAGTCTGAGGTATTCGATGTACACTTAAGGCAAGACCAGAGATAATTTTTAACGTATATAGCGACTCCACCACCATGCCCAATTCTATCTAAGCGATACAGTTTATAACCATTAACACAAAACAAATCGCCAACGTAACATGAAGAGAACCACGTTACGGGGACATATACGACATCAACATTGGAATATTCGAACACTTATCTGAATTCATCGATTTTAGGTTGCAGGTTTTGTGCATTGAGATGACATATCTTTAAGCTGTGCTTTTCCTTACCCAGTATCCGGATCAAGTGGCATGTGTTGTCTTTGGAACTATAGCGTTCGTCACCAATCATAAGTAATATGGTGTAGCAGCAAGCACTGCGCATCAGGAACGATAATAAAAATAAAATTATAGTTTGAAAAACTAAAACCTCGCTATTATAATTTCCATTCGTACTGTCATCAGGTATGTAACTTGAGAATAGAAATCGCTGCATCTTTTAGGCGCATCAATATTACATAGTTACATCCCGAGCTAATAAAAGGGAGGTAAAAAAGAGCATAACCCTCACAAATGATTGAGAAGGGGCAGAGAGTAGATAGAGAAAAATGTACAGTGAAATCACGGTTGCCATTTCCAATTTATTTTTCGGACCAAATGGTAAAACAAGGACCAATTTCTATTACATCGGAAAATTGAGTAGAGTTTATTCCTCTTTATCAAGAAAATATGCCAATTCAGTTTTTATAACATTTGAAATTGCATCCAAATTGAGTTACAATTGTATATTATTAACATTATATTATTTAAAGTTAAATTAAATTAAATTCAAATAAATTTTTAAATTTCGTTTTTATTTATGCTAAATCAATAAATTTACACTCAGCTGCTGCCGAACTGTGAGGCAGACTAAGGGCCAATTTCAAATGAATATTTAAACGGCACTTAAGTTTAATAGTGGATTGTTGTTTAAATGCCATTTAACTTTCGTTGGGTTTCAGATCAACTTTGTTTAAATATGCCAAACATTTGGCAGCACTGCTGCTTGTTCCTTGAAATTGTTGTTGCATTTGCTTGTTTGTTTACATTTTGTGCTGAACAGCTGATTGTTTTTTGGTGGGATTGATTAAACAATTTACCAATCTATCTTGGTTTTTTAGTACAAATACAGGGTTGCATATCTCATATTTAAATTGCCAATATTGGCCATTTAAGTGCAGATTAAATGTATGATCTGAAAATGAATAGTGGAAGTTAATCAACAATCTCTACTTAATTAGGCCATCTGAAATTGGGCCTAAAAATGTTATGAACTAAATCACACAATTCTCCAAAGGCCGCTTTACCCAATCCATTTTTAAACAAACTTACTTGATCCCAAAAACGTTCCATATTAGTACAGTTTTTGAAGTTACCTTCACTCAGCCGCAGTTGCGAAATTGAAATTCAATTATGGCTGCATCATTTACCAATGCAGGAAATTGGTCGAGTAGCGGCAAAATTGATACATCAGTATCAGAAAGAACTTTATGTGGTGTAATAATTTCAAGATGTTTAATATCTTTTCGATTGAAATCGAATATTATTTTCATGTGCTAAATGCTATGATCAGGCATGGGCAGAGAGTTAGCAGATGCTAAAAGAGCGTAAGCGTCGCGTGTACAGATACAAGCGAGCGCGGAGCGATGAGATCACGACAGCATGCAAAATTACCCTGCAGT